GAGGGCTGATAGTTAAAGTGCTGGCATCTGTCGCTACCGCCGGCACCCACAGTGGCATACCGTACTTTACTTTGAATTAGACCTCTGCCGGCTTCTCAGTTAACACCTGAGGAGGTCATTACGATGCCATTAGGATGAATAGTGCAGGGAGGGCGGAGAGGAAGTGAGAGAGAGAGAGAAGTGTAAACAGTCTGCCTGTCAGTCTGTGTCTGAGAACTTTCTCTTCCCCTGGAGAGCCCTCTCTCCTCTGACAGAAGAATGACAGAGACCTCATGGGAATTACACCAGTCTCTCTCTCACATTCTCCCTCTCTCTCTTTCTCTCTCTCTCCCTCACTCTCTCTCTTTGTTTCCCGCACGGACTGACAGATCACAAATTCACAACAATAGGCTCTATTTTAATACCACTTTCTGTTGGTACACAAGGCTGACTTAAAATAAACAACCTTTCTATTGCCTCATGCTCTCTCATTTTCACAGTCTCTCTCTTTTTGAGTATGCTTTAGTGTTGTTGCCGCTGTTGTTGTGCTGCATTGTTCGGGGGGATTTTCTTCTTTTTTCTTTTTCCTCCTCTCCTCCATTCTCTGGAGAAGAAGGACTGCTTTCCTGGGTGCAGTCAGTGATACGGCATGGGACAGCTCTTTCTGTTTCATTATATAAACAGCTTTGATGCCTCTTCTTGCTCTCTGGTTTCTATGGCTAAGTGGCTTTTGGAGAGGGCTCTGGACTAGAGAGACAAGAGGCGTGTGTCTGTACATGAGTTTCTTGTGTATGTGTGTATACGGTATGTGCTGCTGTCTTCAGTATATTTGTGCACATGGCTGACACCATTTTTTCAGATAAACCAATGTGGCTTCAAGGTCCTCCATAAGTGTTAGAAGTGGCTTCAATTACATTATTTAAACTGGAAACCTCACAAAGTCTCAAAAACAAGTCTGTAATTATGTCTTATCATTACTTAAATTAGTTTTGTGGGGTAGCTGCATTTTCAATTTAATATTACTTGGACACTTGTTTGTTCATTTATTTATAAATTGATTGTATAATTCACTATGACTAGCATTAAATTAGTCTAAAAGTGTCTTAAATCTATTTTAATTAAACTTACATTGACCATCTCAACCTTTAACCTCCCTGCCTCCTCCTTATCATCCACTGATCTCTGTCCTTCTTTTCTTTGCATATTTGCATAATTACTCTCTATTTCCTTGCTCTTGTTCCTCATCTCCTTGCCTTTCCCACCTCTCTATCTATCCTCCTTTGTTTTGTGAGTGCCCGGAAAAGATCATCTCCTTATGGCCCTATGTGCGGTCAGCCAAACCAGGCATGACTCTAGCAATCAGTGCAAGAACACACACACACACACACACACACACACACACACATTAACTGATACATGTGTACACATAATGTGGGAGGTCTGTCTCTGTAGTGAGAAATTTGAAAACATATCAACTTGCGGCCACAATGGTCTTCATTAAGATCTTGGCTTTGTGTGAGAGTGGAGTTATGAAGAGATTGTTATGGGGATGACCAGAGGTTTGCAAGGAGTTGATGTCACTGCCCACCCAGTTAAATGCCTCTTATCAAGGCCACATACTGTACTTCTCTCCCCGTCCATCCCTCCTGCCTTCACTCCTCCTCCTCTCAGCTGTTCACTGCAGTGGGAGCTGGCACAAACCTCTGGCTCCTGGGGATTACTTCTCCATCTCTCCCTTTTGGTCTTCCTTTCTTTCCTTCCACTGAGCCCTCCTCTAAGTCCCTTCCTTCCTCACTGATCCCTCTCTTCTTGCTTCATCGCCACAATGCTTCCTCTACACAAACAAGCCACAGACACAGAGGTGACCTCAGCTGCAGAAGCTCTATTTCAGAGTCTCCCACGCTCTCACGGTCATGTAGAATGCTTGTTGTTGTTCAAGATACATCATCATCCGGGCAGACAATTGAAACTCCACTTTTACCCTTTTTTGCTCTTTTAACCATGGTGAAGACTTACGTTGTCTATCTAGTCCAGAGAGATAAAGTCAGTGGGGGTTACAAGGGTTTTGTGGAACCATGTCACTCATGGTCATTGCTCTGTGTATTTGGAGGTGAAATTGTGCAGTATGGAACTTTTTATGAGCGATTCTGCACTTACATTGACATTTCAGATAATGTCATATCTTTTCAGCCTGGATGATATTACATATTTGTTGTAGATAAAAGGGACATTGTAAATATGTTTATGGTCATAACACCTATTGATTTGAATTGAGTGAGGTTGCTTTTATCTCTCCTTCTCCCTTCCCTTCTCCTTGTTTGTCTTAATATTGTTTTCCATATCCACTCCTCATGCTTCTTCTATCCCTTGATGCCGACAATGCAGGCACTCAGCGTTGCTTCCTGCAGGCATTTCATTAAAGCACTAATAACACATTGGTAATTAGGTGACAAAGAGGCTTTTCTTATTGTACTGATCAGCTGCTGAGACGTAGTCCTCAGAGGCCCACACAGAAGGAGGTTTGCTGTGTGTGCGCACGTTTGTGTGTACACCAGTACATGTTTGTGTGTTTCTGAGTTGTATGCCTCTGCTCTGAGTCTATTCCATTATTTCTTAAAAAAGAAATTTGGATTTTGATCCAGTGGAATGCTGGTTGTCCCTATTTCAACTCTCACTACTTTTGATGTGTACCTTGTTTACTGAAAAGGTAATCTGGCTGCAGTTTACATTATGTGCTAAAGCATACAGATGACCACAACCTTAATACAAAGCTTGGATTTTAGATTCTTATTTGTGATTCGGTATCCTTCTATCTGTGGAAATGCATTCACACAGTGAAAGTCTTGCATTCTTTCCACTTTTTCTCTCTGCTCTTGTTCCCCATCAGTCTCTCTTCCTATTCTATATCAGATGGTTTTCGAGCCACCTGAGGCTCTGAACAAATAACGTAGTGCAAATGAAATTTCCTGTGAGGCTTATTGATGTCATTAAACACTAGCATACTGAGGCCCCGAATCATTTTAGTCTTCATCAGACCGGCTGACATTTTAGTGAATTAGCTGTTGGAGGTTAGTGGGTTGGGGTGAGATGGGGTTGTTTTAGCTCCTCTAGCTTTTTTCTCCCTTTCACAGGGTCAAATCATTTGGGCCGTCTGCTGGCCTTTGATTTGTTGTCATAAGGCTAATTTGTGTCTGGTTCCTAATGTTATTCTTGCATGTTCTTCAAGCAGTAAATCAAGTTTGCATCGAGTGTCTTTCGGGCATAAAAGAGCATGGCAATATTGTGATTATCACAAGAATTCAAATTTGACTTAAAAGCAAGTTTACGAGTACTTTTAACTTGCATTTGGCCTTTTGTTGTCCTTTTTTCCTGTGTGAAAATGCCAGTTCATGCCATTTAAGTGTTTGGAGTTTGGAACATAATTTAAGGATATGCATAATTTCATTTCCTGTGGTTGACATTTCAGCGTGTGGTCTATAGAAAATGTTTTGTTTTATGTGTGCCAAAAAAACTTTAAAATGGAAGCAGATTATCAGTTTTCTTCACTTTGTCGTACTAATTCATTACATTTTTGGACTAGTCGTGTTGGCAGTGATTTTCTCACTTCTCTAAGGAACTTGGAGAAATGTTGTCACATTAGTTAGACTGAGTCGATCTTCCTTCCTTATAGAAAGAGATGGATGTTTAATTGACATTTAGCCTTATTGTCATGTAGCTGTGTTCTACATAGCTTACACAGAGCAAGTTTACTTTTTATTGGCTCCAAAAACACACTAGTGGCTTGTGAATTTATGTAGTTTGTACTGAAGACTGCATATTTTTATACATTGTCAAATATGTTTGTGTATGTGTATTGATATTAAACAATTTTTTTAGAGAAATTGCAATTTTTGTGCGGATTTATTTTTTATTTTTTACCAAATTACTCTTTTACATTTAATGTTTAAATGTCTATTAACCTGTTATTATTAAATCTCAGTAAATTTTCTCCCCTTTCCACACATTAATGGGATCTGAGAATCATGCCACTCTGTGAGACATTTTTTGTGTTTGGGCTTCGTGTTTGGGGTCATTCAGTTGGTCTCGCGTTGTAGCTGCTGCGCCACCACTGGCCTTTGGTCTCCTGATGTAGTGAGGCTGATGCTTCAACAGCTAGTCAAAGTGAGACTTCACAGCAGAGCTGGACAGCATGTTGCTCAGCTATCCCTGTGGTCCATCCGCCCTTCATTGTATTGTCATGACATGTACAGGACAGGGAATCTGTCATTGCACATGTTTGGGAAACATCATCACAGCAACAATATCTCCAACACCGCTCACTGCCAGCGGCCGTGTGCCCTGTCATCTGTTATCATCACCCCTCTGTCTTTCTTTCATAACTGATCAAAAATTGAAATCTGTTCCACACAACGTTTGTCTCTGTTCTCAGATGAGCAGGACGTGTAGAGAAGAAAAGAAGGAAAGGAAAAAGAAGGAAAATGGAAAAGAAAGTTGTTAATGTCACTGAACCATGAAAGGCTTGGCCCGGGGTTGGAATGATTCGGTATACAAGGTTCTTTAGTGCTGTGGCTGCGGGGATAAACATAACTTACATCAGCCCTTCGCTTGTACAGGAGATTTCCTCTCCTGGCACTTACAACCTCAACACTCTAACTGCACTGTGATTCACACACACACACACACATACACACCGCACACAGTATGATTCAGACCCTTTCAAGTAGCTCATGTACACACACACACACACACACACACACACACACACACACACACACACACACACACACACACACACACACACACCAGAGGGCAAACAAGGGTTTTGAATAGTATTTTCTATTCTGTTTGCAAGCATGACAGTGGTTGCTTTTACTTGTTCACACATAAACACAGAGGTTTGTTGGCTTTTGTTAGATGGATTTGTATCAGCAGCTATATAAAAATATTTATTGCATTAGACTGTATTATCAATGTAATGTTTGACTGTGTGTGTGTTCTGTGTCTTTTTTTTCTCTCTCCAGATCATCACTCAGTATGTTTATGAGTTGCTGGAGAAAAAGTGCAACATGACTAAAGCAATCCTGCCAGTAAGTACCCAGAGTAAAAAGAGGCATTTTTCTCTTTGATTTATGCCCTTGAAGATTAAAGGGAGTATTAAATATGAAAATTGACGTAAATGCTCAGGCTTCAGAGTGTGATTATGATATTGAGTGTCCTTTTAAAAAAATTTAAGAAAAGGGGGTTGTGAGGAGTCAGCTCTGCTCATTCTCAATCAATTCTTTCTCTTTCCATCACTCAGTTTCTCTCTTACTCCCTCTTTTTCTTTTACCCCCTCCTCTGCCCACATCCTTTGTGCAAAAGTGTCTCCTCAACAAATTAACTGTATTGTGACGTGTCATTTCAAAGGCGCAGAGGCGCAGCATGCTGATGCTTAATCTGTTTTGCATTCATTTGCGCTGAAGGGGACTTTCTACTCTGCCATCATGGAGTTATTCTTTGCCCAGCTCATCCAGGCTTAGAGCACACACTTGATCCCTTTTATTTGTTGTTGGAAGCATGTTTGTCTTTCTTTACCCCCCTTTACCCCTACATCTCTACTCTTTTTCTGTTTAGAAAAGGTGTGATCATTTTTCAGGCTGCGTTTATAGGGATGTTAGACAGCGCTGGTGTTTAGAAGCATAGCAGAGTTAGCTGCAGCGCTAACAGTGTCCATAAATCACCTAACCAGGGACTCAGCGCCTTTCATTAGCCCCCATACACTTTTACTGGTTTATCTGCCTGGTCTATTTATCTCATTATTCCTCTGGAAAATTGCTCTGTTCTGCTTTTCTGCTGCCCACCCGCCTGCACATATTTGGCGTGTGAGTGTGTGTGTGTATTTGTGTGTAATTGGTGGGTCCGTCCACCTGCGTGGCATTGAACTTGTGACCGCAGATTTTAAGAAGATTAACCACAGCCAAGTATAGGGAGAGGGAATGAGGGAGCACAAGAGAATAAAGGGTAAGATTTTCTCCCCCGCTCGGCTGCCTTTGTCTGTTTGGATTAAGTTCTTGCAGCTGCCACCCATGGCTTTTATGGACAGTGTTTGTCTCCTTAGAGATTCTTCCAGCCATACTTGGGAGAGATGCAAAGACACATGGGATGTGGATGGAGCGCTTGCACGCATGCACACAAACACTAACTCACTTAGCCTCTCTTTCTTTCCTTATTACTTTCTGCCTCTGTTTTAATCACACAAAGCCTGTTTTCTAATCATGATTATTGATGATTAGTGTACTGATGCTTATTAGCTTATGAGCTGCAAATGCCACAGAAGAGATGGCTATTTCTCCTTAAACTCATGCATGTTACATAAGAACATTTCTAACCTTTTTATTTTATAGTCATTACCAGGCAATAATTTGAACTGGCAGAAATCAGTGCTTTAATTATAAAATCACTATTTCATCATGATGCTGCTGTCGTATAGAAAGACCAAATATGTATTTGATTGAGTTAAATGTCCCAAAAGTCTACAAAATCATATTCAAAACGTGCAGAATTCTTTCTTCGTTCTTTCTTTATATAAGAGATTTTAGGGGTTTGACTTAACCTGTGTTTTCCCGGACATTTAGGTGGATGCTACAGATGATGAACCCACCAGTTTTATCTACATGAGCCCAGATGCCTTGTCCAACCCGTCCAAGCTGCTAGTGTTGATCCAAGGCAGTGGAGTAGTGCGGGCCGGTCAGTGGGCCCGTAGACTCATCATCAACCAGGACTTGAACTCAGGGACACAGATCCCCTTCATCACCAGAGCCATGGAGGTAGGGGTCACAACAAAAGAAGTTCAAGCTATTCTGATGGAAGTTGAACTGATTTTCTGATCTTTGATCCAAGAAGTCCTGTTTTCATGATTCACTAAGAGGGACGTGAGAGCTGAGTGCACTGAGGACACTGCTCGTAAGACATTAGAAGAGGATTTATCGTGCAGACAGTTCTAAACACTTTATTTTAATATATATTATTTTAATTTCTTTTTCTTTTTCTTTTTCCTATAGTTTTTGACCCTCTTCAGAGTATACACTGTGACACATCTTTGATATGTAGAGTTTTGTGGGCCTCTAAGTGAAAAACTCACTGGCACTGTGCTCATAATGCGGTCTTTGTTACCACAACTGCCACAGCGGTTAGCCTGATGGGATATTGGTGTGACAAGTCTAACAAACACTGTTTATTTGAAGGGCAGGCTTGAATACTCGGGGCTGTGGAAGGCATTGTGGCACAGTCAGAAGCCAAGTGTCATGGTATTTTGTTTTCTTTTATTTGACTGGAGGTTTGAATGTGATTGTGGGTCATTTGTTGTTGCTGTATGCTTTCATGGCTCAGACTCTGGATGTACTGCATCGACCCAATTCAGTTAAACTTCACTGTACAATTTACACAAGAAAGGAAAGTTTGTCCTGGGGTCATATGAGAAATTATATGATGCTAAATAATTTCTGCACACCACAGTATCATATAATCACAGAGGCAAATAATAAATATAGCCGCAAACGGCGATTCGCGGGTTCATACCTTTTTTCGCAATATCGCCATCAAAATGATTTCACACATACGGTTCAACATTTTTATGAAACACATCCTGCAAGTTTTGTAACAACTGGACAACCATTTTCTGATCTATAGCTTGATTTGTATTATTCCACATCCAGTTACGATGCATTCATAGTGCCCCCTAGTGGTGGATTTGAATGAGACTTTCAGGGTATGCGTCAGGTGCTGATTTAGACATATCATGCAAGTTTTGTGTTGATTGGACAAACAATATGCATTTCGTAGCCTGTTTTGCATTTTATCCCCTGCAGTTTGTTTGCATTTATAGCACACTCGGGTGTTCAATTTGAATGAAACTTTCAGGGCATGTTTCATTTACTTATGTGGACACATCCTGAGAGATTTGATTTCAGATTTAATATGGGATTTATAGTGTAATTTGTGTAATGCTAAGCACCCGTCTTGTGCTTGTAGCGCCCCCTAGTAACGTATGTACATCAAACTGTCCAGGTATATCTGGGGCACCTATTTGAACATATCCTGTGAGTTTTGTGATGATTGGCTCTACGGTTGCTGATTTGTGGTCATTTATGTCCATAGCCACGCCCCTTTCAAAGTTCATTGGTTCATATCTTGAAAAGTAATTGAGCTATCGACATGCTTTATGCAACTTTTAATAGGCTTGATCCAATGATGATTCTCTGAAAATTTGGTGGCAATCGGAGCTACGATCTAGGAGGAGATGTCAAAAATGTGATTTTCAAAAAATTCAAAATGGCGGAAAAAAACTCTAGGTGGACCTTAATAGTCCTTGAGTCTTTTTTGTAGAGCACATTGAGCTGCACTTGTGTGAGAAATTTTAAGTCAATCTGACTTTAGGCGTAAGAGGCGTGGCCTTTCAAAGTTTGCATTTTTAAGCCTTATTTACAGCGCCACCATGTGGCCGTTTGAGTTCATATTTCTATGGAAGCTGATGCACACCATTTCCAGTTATTCCCCCAGGATTCATGTTTCTAGCTCATTCCAGCTCACGGGAATTTGAGCTGGCCCGGCAGACAACAAATAATAATAATAACAAGCAGACATTCATTCACAGGTGCAGACTCATACTCTTGAATGATATTATTACTGTATAGTCCTCAAACCAAAACTGCGGCTTATATTGTCTGTTAGTGAAATGAAGCATAAACCTCAACATGATAATTATTATACCAGAAAACATTTATACATTCTTATGATGCATAATTCCTCTGTAGTCCTGTACATTCATGGGTGACTGAGCTGAGAGAGAGAGGAAGAGATAATGTAAAATATAGATTTGTTTCTGTTCTTACCATATGATCACACACCAGTGTATACACTTTTGTGTCAGCAAGCAAAAGGTGGCTCTGCCTGTCTTATTATTTTCATCCCCATTTCTGCGTTCATTTGTCAGCCTGGCCATGACTACCTGTGTAATTTCATTGGCTTGCTGTTCAAATTGACTTAGGGGAGATCCTGCTCCCCCTCTCCCTCTGTTCCCTCGTTTCACCTATCTGAATACCATAAAGACTTTCACTGCTGTGTAAAGCCCTCTCATGCTGTGAACAACAACAAGAGAGGTTTGGATTCTGTGCGTATGTGCCTATGTGTGTGCTAACGGATGATTCGACTACCCTGAGACTTTGAATTACAGTTGCCTTGGCTGGTATTACAGTTGGAGAAGGCAGGGTTGTGCTGCAGAAAGCCAAAGTGACAGCTTCGATATAGAGAACATGGTGTGTGGAGTGCAAGTATTGCTCATTCATCATAGTAAACAAGAAATCGTGTTCTTACACCCTGACAAATCATCATCCAGGCATTTACCACACACAGGCCTCTGTACTCTGTGTGTACGTTGGAAAGACAGGCATACACATTTACAGTCAATTCATGCTGTCTGCATCTATTACGGGCATGTTTGTGGTTTATTATGTCATGCCATGAAATTTGTGTGGATGTAGTTTTAAGTGCATGTATAGGATTTAGAGCTACTATGCGATCTGAAGAAAGATGTTTTTTGTAAATACATATGCATTTTATACCCTTTTACAACCATGCAGCAATAACACACATGTTGACAGCTCAGTGACACAGCATATACAGATGATGGTCAGCAGCATTATGCCATATTAAAGGCAGAATCCCATGATCAAGCAAGTTTGGGAGAACAACTCAATGACATCCAATTAGCCATTATTACAGTGCCAGAGCAAAATGCCCTAGCTTGTGCAATGTGGCATTGGCAGGCAAGATTTTGCTGGGTTTCCTCTCAACCCAACAAGCCATCAGCTGATTTTGATGATTAGCTCCCATTTGAGCAGAGAGGGACGAGCTAATCACCAGGACAAGCAACACACTGCATACTCATCAGAAGTACCCATTATAGTTATTCAGTATGTTATTTTCAATGGATACTGAGGATGCTCAAAGGGTACACCACATGACTAGTCGGCGCTATGAAACAATGGACATTAAAATTGTAAGCTGACTTGTATACAGTAATATAAACATATCCATATTTCTGTAGGTGTAGTTGTTTTGGCTATATTATATTAGATATTTGACAACTCTGGCACCATGACAATTACTGAATATTTTTATGTTACACATTTTTTTAAGTGCAGTGTTAGGTCAAATGTTGACATTTTGAGTATACATTTTATTTTGTTTAGATTAGGCTCCATTTTCCAAAAGTGTTTCATGGCAAGATTCTGTTGCCTCGAGTGCAGTTCATGTGAAGTTACTCATGGGAAGTTGATTGGAATTTCAAAGCCTACAGCAAAGGGTCAACTGGAGTGCACTCAGCAAATATGGAGGGGAGTTTGTTGCTTTGCAAAACACATGAGCAAGTACACACACACACCCACACGCACATACACACACAGACAAAACACTAAATTTTCCTCAGTACTGATGTAGTGTGTGCGTGCATGCGGTGCAGTTCTACGATGTGTATGGGCTTACACATCCCTGTGTCAAAGCACTACTCTGAATTTCTTAGCCATGTTCCTTGGAACTTAGAGTCAGCCTTTCCTCTCTTCTGATGGGGAAAAAAATTGGTGATTTTACTAGTTAATCATGCCACATACACACACACACACACACACACACACACACGCAAACAATCACAGGGTAAATCTCGTTGCAGCCTGCCTCTGCCTCCCATATCCACCATGCTCCTGTCTAGAGACATATCACATTCTTTGTCATGCTGCTCTATGATGATGACACATTAATAAGCTGGCAAATTGTATCTGTTCAAGCTAAGTCTAAAATATGTACACACAGAGAAAACATATACACATAGACATAGACACAAATGCATCACATTGGGCAGAGGATATGCGTGTGACATTTGTACAGTGACACAAGGTTAAGGGAAATCTTTGTGCTGTGTGTGCAGGTCTCATGAATGTTGTCTTTATGCTCATGTGTGTGCACATGGAAGTGGCGCTATTCCCAAAGCCTAGAGGTAAAATGACAGGTGAGAGGAGGATGCTCTAGCAACGACCAGAGAGTGGGAGAAAGAGGTGGAAAAGAGGAATCTGAGATGGAGAGCGGTGGGTTGGGGGGTGCAGAGAGGGAGAAGGTTATGATTGGTTGGTAGAGGACAGAAGAGGAAAGAAGGAGAGGGGTACAGGGAGGATTGAAGCAGGAAGAGAGAAATGAGAGGAGGGCGAGGGAGTGACTGCAAATGGGGTGGGACTGGCAGAGGAGAGAAGGGAGTATAGAGAGAGAGAGAGAGAGAGAGAGAGTAGGCAGAAGGCAGGCGTCTGACAGCTCCACTACTGGGAGAGGGCCTCTTAATGACAGCTTATTCCTTCATGATTTCAATTCCTGACAGTCGACAGGTCTGCTTGTTGCATCATGGCAGCTGTATCATTACCTTCTGGCCCTGTCACTGCTCTGCATCCTGAGACTGAGATGGTGGAGGTGGGCGCCATGGGGTTTGGAGGGGATGAGGGAGAGAGAGAGAGAGAGAGTCTAGATTACAGTTACAGTCTAGGTTACAGTCAGAATAAATGAGGAAGGAGGGATTATTGAAATGTGGGATCATTACTTATAATAGGTGTTAGGATTAAGAGTAGGACTCAAAACTTGTGAAAGTTCAAATTGAAAGAAAGCACATGAATGCTGTTGTGAGGCCTTAGCTCTCCTACACCACTAATCTGACCAAGACACAACATAGATGAGAAGTCAACATTTTTTATTACTTCACATTACTTACTAACCTCAAAAATTATACACT